TGTAACATTCTTGAAGTCTGAACATTTGCACAAAATATTAAAAGGAAAAGTTAAGTCATTGTTCTTGCATCTAGCCTATAGGAAAACTCCTGGTTTTGCAGCTTTTTTTCTGATGATACAAGTGCCTCTTATCTGCTGTAGCACACTACTCAAAAACTAATTGTTCCATACAATTTGCTACAATTTTGAAACTTATTCAAAATTATAATAATTTAAGATTTGGTGTAGAGTAAAAAAAAATTCCAATAAAATTTTACGAAAATGGAAATTTTAAATTTTTCTACTTAAATTAAAACAATTGTTCTTTTTAATATTGTTTACATCATATCATATATAAAGAATGCTGTTGAAAATTAAATCTTTTCTATCTTCAGCTAGGATTCAATTAATTATAATATGAAAAAATCATAATAAAATTTAAAATCTGGTTTTCACATTTAAAATAGATCTTAAGATAAAGTTTACAACACCATAACCTATACAAAATTAATTTTTGATAAAGTGAAATACTTTTGTAATTGTAATAAATTGTCTCATGTATGTTTCATGAATTGTATAAAACTAAATATAAAATTACTATGTACTGTACTTCAGATTATTAAATATTAAGAATAATACTATTTAAATATTCAACTTACACTGTTATAGTAGTTAATAGTAATAATAATAATAATAATAATATATTTTTCATAGATTAAAAACATATTTTATAATTTAAGTATTTATTATACTTAAATAAATAAATAAGTGTCTTAAAGCTATTTTTTAACAAAAAAAGTTTACACAATAATAGAGGTTCTTAAAAAAGTTTTGTCATTTAGTAAAGTATTTTAATAAAAAATGTTTCAGGCTAATCATTTAGCTATCTTCAGCTTAGATTATGTTATGAAACAGAAATAAATAGAACGTAAAAATAAACATAATGAAGTATATGAATTATGACTGTTCTTGCATTCCTAGTATATATTTAGTGTTATAGGCAACTGCATTAATATAAAGATAGCATAAAAATAATCTAAAAGTAAAAGAAAAAAATTCATTCTATCTATAAACAATGCTAAAATATTTACACTCTTCAACTTACAAAACTAATTCAAAATAAATAAAACTCTTTTTATAGAAAATTTTTACTAGATTAAAGATAATCTACATATTTTCTTCCTTCAATTTATTTATAGTTTAAACAAGTTATATTAATGTTTATTTTTTTATATGGTAGAATATTTAATGTTTTTATGGTGCTGGTTTTAAACCTCGGGCAATTTTTATGCAACACAGCATATATAATTTTAAGCGAGCTTNCTCTAAAACTTACTTTTGAAACTTATATTTCATTTACATTATTAAACTACTGTAGAAAACTGATCAATTAACAGGTAGTATTTAAGATATTAGTTTTTAAATACTATAGACAAACGTTTAAGTAATTAAAAAATAAGTGGAAAACATCCCCTAAGCCCTATTTAAGTAGACAGCGGTACCGCCAAGACAGAAGAAAATTAAAGCGAGTGTAATAAACAAAAAAAATGTGTCTTAACTACTGAATTAATTATAGATAACAATCAATCGAGTGTTATTTTTCACTGAAAAAGTTTTCTGGGTCATATAATTAGAAGTCTCGATAAATTACCAAACTTCTTTTCAAACGAGTAACGAGGTGGTTAAAAAAAAAAATTGGTGGACAAACACGTCATTTGTCCGACTGTCACAGACAATGCCCTTGAAATCGGAGGAAAAGACTTAACAAAACTAAACATCCAGAATTAAACTGGGAAATTAGTTTTTCAGGTCAATGTAATCTTACCGAACTCTACATAAAAGTAAAAGAAAAAAACTTACTTTTGTTCTGTTAATGGAAACAGTGAAGTCCCAATCAGGAGCAACGAATAAATATCCACATTTTGAAACTTTTCTTGTTGCCTAAAAAAGAAAAAACAAAAACAAAATTTAAACTATAAAAACACGGAAGAAAACGCATATATAGTTAAATATCTATACATTAATAATAAATTACAATAAATTAATCTTATTTAGAATAATCGCATGACACAGGAAAACTCGTATATCAATCAATCTCTCCTGAAGAAAATACATTCGATCGATACGTACTTTTTACGCTACAAAATTTGATATTTTTATCTCGTATATTTCCTTAAATATACTATAAAAATTGACGGATATGTTAAAACTCGTTCCGTTTTTTTTTTATTTGCATATAAGCGATTGTCTTTATATCGAATTCTGATATATCGATAACCGTCGCAATGCTTTCAGGTTAATTATAGCTTTCGTTTGAACGATACTATCGGTACTCTATATTTTATTCTATTTAAAAAAAAAAATCCGTTTGTGTGTCGTTTCTTCTATTATATATATTAACAGTTAGCAAAAGAACTTCGTTAGAAAATCCTTAAAAATCGCGTAAAGATAATGTTATCAAATAAAGTCGAGGAGGAGAAAAAGCTTGTTAAATAGCAAAATTCTTTCGAATATATTTAATAACCACTTCCTTTCTATAAAAAAAAAAAAAAAAGAAAAAAGTTTCTCGGAAATCGGCAAAGAGCCAAGAAGGACCACACCTTCATCTATCCTATCAAATTTCCCTTGAAACAATAACAAGTTCGACTCTTGCATAAGGGATTTGTTGCAGCTGTGAAAATATTTCTTTTCTGTAAATATTTAATAATCGCTCGGCTTCTGGGCATTTAACACTTTTAATAAATAAATAACAACAACTAGATAAAGCACTAATTATACTAAAAAGGTACATAACCAGTTTTTTTTTCTTTCCTAATTTCATTTTTTTTCATTCTAATCTATTTTACTACACATTACAACGGAAAAAATTTACAAACGAGCCGGTCGATTTACAAATGTGTGCAGGTGTTAACTGAATTTTTATAGCACATCCATGCATTTTAGATCAAACCTGTTACTTAGCATAACGCCTTATGTTTTAATAATTACGGATAATTTTCTATTCCTTTCTTGGAATTGCCCTTAATCCTCTTAGATTATAAAATCCTACTTCCAACTGTTAAATGTCAAAATTATTATTATTATTATTATTTTAAATGTTAATTCTTATTAATCTTATTCAAAATTAAATTTCTTAGAAAAATACTCATACAAGGGGAGAAAAACCATAAAAAGTTTAAATTATAGAAGGAATATTCCATTATTTGCATATTATTTCTGCATTGAGATAGACATTGAAATTTGAACTTTGATTAAAATCTCTTTACTTTATAGGCATTTACATTTTTCATATTTATCGAAATATTTTTAAAATATACTAACTTCAAAAAATTAACTTTTCTACATGTAACATGTAAAAATATTCTCAAAGAAGTTTCCTGAAGAATATATTTATTTAGAAAATGTAACCTTAGATGTCCTTCAAGTTGATAATTTAATTTTCTACCCTTGTTACATTTTTCTGATGCAGAAAACAATTTGAGTTTCATTTCGTGATTATTCTTTAATTTTCTCTTTCTTTCACACTTTCTTAAACTCGTTAAATTGCTTACTTTTCTGAAATTTAAGTAACCAATATATTTTTGGAATATTAATTACCGTTTCTCCTTCTAATTAATTGATTAAAACAATTGGTATATTCAAATATTCCCTTTATATTAACATCAGTATAAAATGAACTCGCCAGAAGATAAAAATTGTTAAGAAATAATAAATTATTTATTATAACAATAAACAAAATGTAAGTTTAAAGGATGTTTATAAAAATTACTCTTATCAAAGAAGGATCTTAGTATACTTCAAATACATATTTGGAAATCCAACAAGCTCCAAACTAATAGGTAGTATAAATTTACACTTAAAAACAAAAAAAAATGAATGATTAATGTACATACTTATGCATATTTTCTTATCGGTATATTTTTTATTTGCCTTAATTAAGCAAGCCACAGAAAACAAAGTACTACTGTGAAAAAATAAATGCAAATGGAACTCCAAAAACAAATGTTACTTTTATACTAAATTTAGAATGTCTATCTTTGTTTTGGATTATATAACAGGAAAATGTATCGCTCGATATAATAAGAGCTTATGAATATTACCATTGAAGACATTTTTCAAGGTGGTACCAAAGACAAATTTCTAATTCTAAGTCTGAATAATTAATTATTCAGACTTTGCTTTATTTGCTCCATTCTAAAAATTCTCCACACAATACCTCCTTTCTGAAATTAAAGCAGATCAAGTACTTAAATACTGTTTATCTTAACTTTTCAAAGCAAGACAGATGTCAAGTGATTTAAATTAATCAGGATCAGCTGTATCTTCAAAGAGCCATGTGACTTTACTTCTTATCCTTCATATACAATCTCTAAGATGTAATTACAGTGTATGACATTAGAAGTAAATTTATGCCTATTTAAGTGCTGTAAAGTGTTCTAACTTTTCAACATATACAACGCTTTATAATGTTTCCAAGAATTTATCTCTAAAACTTACTTTTGAAACTTATATTTCATTTACATTATTAAACTACTGTAGAAAACTGATCAATTAACAGGTAGTATTTAAGATATTAGTTTTTAAATACTATAGACAAACGTTTAAGTAATTAAAAAATAAGTGGAAAACATCCCCTAAGCCCTATTTAAGTAGACAGCGGTACCGCCAAGACAGAAGAAAATTAAAGCGAGTGTAATAAACAAAAAAAATGTGTCTTAACTACTGAATTAATTATAGATAACAATCAATCGAGTGTTATTTTTCACTGAAAAAGTTTTCTGGGTCATATAATTAGAAGTCTCGATAAATTACCAAACTTCTTTTCAAACGAGTAACGAGGTGGTTAAAAAAAAAAATTGGTGGACAAACACGTCATTTGTCCGACTGTCACAGACAATGCCCTTGAAATCGGAGGAAAAGACTTAACAAAACTAAACATCCAGAATTAAACTGGGAAATTAGTTTTTCAGGTCAATGTAATCTTACCGAACTCTACATAAAAGTAAAAGAAAAAAACTTACTTTTGTTCTGTTAATGGAAACAGTGAAGTCCCAATCAGGAGCAACGAATAAATATCCACATTTTGAAACTTTTCTTGTTGCCTAAAAAAGAAAAAACAAAAACAAAATTTAAACTATAAAAACACGGAAGAAAACGCATATATAGTTAAATATCTATACATTAATAATAAATTACAATAAATTAATCTTATTTAGAATAATCGCATGACACAGGAAAACTCGTATATCAATCAATCTCTCCTGAAGAAAATACATTCGATCGATACGTACTTTTTACGCTACAAAATTTGATATTTTTATCTCGTATATTTCCTTAAATATACTATAAAAATTGACGGATATGTTAAAACTCGTTCCGTTTTTTTTTTATTTGCATATAAGCGATTGTCTTTATATCGAATTCTGATATATCGATAACCGTCGCAATGCTTTCAGGTTAATTATAGCTTTCGTTTGAACGATACTATCGGTACTCTATATTTTATTCTATTTAAAAAAAAAAAATCCGTTTCTTCTATTATATATATTAACAGTTAGCAAAAGAACTTCGTTAGAAAATCCTTAAAAATCGCGTAAAGATAATGTTATCAAATAAAGTCGAGGAGGAGAAAAAGCTTGTTAAATAGCAAAATTCTTTCGAATATATTTAATAACCACTTCCTTTCTATAAAAAAAAAAAAAAAAAGAAAAAAGTTTCTCGGAAATCGGCAAAGAGCCAAGAAGGACCACACCTTCATCTATCCTATCAAATTTCCCTTGAAACAATAACAAGTTCGACTCTTGCATAAGGGATTTGTTGCAGCTGTGAAAATATTTCTTTTCTGTAAATATTTAATAATCGCTCGGCTTCTGGGCATTTAACACTTTTAATAAATAAATAACAACAACTAGATAAAGCACTAATTATACTAAAAAGGTACATAACCAGTTTTTTTTTCTTTCCTAATTTCATTTTTTTTCATTCTAATCTATTTTACTACACATTACAACGGAAAAAATTTACAAACGAGCCGGTCGATTTACAAATGTGTGCAGGTGTTAACTGAATTTTTATAGCACATCCATGCATTTTAGATCAAACCTGTTACTTAGCATAACGCCTTATGTTTTAATAATTACGGATAATTTTCTATTCCTTTCTTGGAATTGCCCTTAATCCTCTTAGATTATAAAATCCTACTTCCAACTGTTAAATGTCAAAATTATTATTATTATTATTATTTTAAATGTTAATTCTTATTAATCTTATTCAAAATTAAATTTCTTGCAGACAGAAAGGGAGAGAGAGAGAGAGAGAGAGAGAACCCCTAGTGAGACATTGGAAAGATGCCAAAATGTACTGTACGACGATTAAAAATTCAAAAGTGCTAATTTTATTGAAAGGAAAGATTTTAATTTTTTTTCGAATTTAAAATTACATTTTGAAGTTTGCGCAACTTTGATTGATTAATGGGATAAATTGGAAAAAAAAAACTTCTCGCAAGATATACCTTATCAAATTAGTTTCTTTTCGTCACGTGCGAATACTCTAAATTATTACCGATTTTTACATCCTTTATCATTATATAATTCCGTAAATATTTAATAGCAAACTATTCGGCATGATATGCACTGTCGATCAAACGGATGCACATACCGTAATTAGCATATGGAACTAATCATAGTCATTACAAAAAGCAAACATTGTATAATTGCAGGAATTTCACTTTTTAATATCTGTCATCATTAATTCTGTGAAAATAAGTTAGAAAAATCTTTCAACTGACTCAAAACGCTGTGAATCCGGCACAGGAATAAGAATAAAAAACAAAACAACACAGTTTGAAAGATGATCATTCATGAGTAACGGCCATATTTGTGAACAAAATTATTACATAAACAGAAATATTCTCGATAATATTCAAATTATTCATATTCGAAACTTCGTTGAACTCATTAAAAACTTGAGTATATTTAACTAAGTTTACGAATATAAAAGAAAATATTTAGTCAAATCGAAAGTTTTCTAGTAACTATGTTATAAAAAACGTGAGCTGTAAAGTTTGAAGATCGAATAAACGCATTCTCAGATCGTCAATCTGTTCAATAAAAACATTTAGGAGAATGAACCGTACAATGCAGTAAATAAATCTATACAATAGAAAGTTCGCAGCTGCCTGAGATCTTCAAGAACTAGTTGAAAGCTTATAAGATATTAAGTGTTGAAAACACAATTCTTTCAATAATATTTTAATTGTGTAGCTTCATTTGTAACATTGTTAATAATAAAGATGCGTGTGTGTGCGTGTTATATACTGTATATTTATACACACACATTCGCGCACGTTATAGCTTATAACATATAAAGAATACTGTGAACATATTTACTGAGAAAGACACTATATACTTTCTAAAAATAAACAGAACGTCATTTCTATATTTACTTTTGTGGTCCAACCCAACTGGACAGGACAAACCAAAAGACTAAATTTGTCACTGACAGTTTATTCTAACAGAAGGCAGACGAGGAAAGATGTCACAGATGCTTTCTCCAACAGTTTATTGCTATGGAATCACGTAACACAGAATTTTTTTAGTTTTAAAACTACATATATTTCATACAGGTGTACTTTTTGTAAAAAAAAAAAAAGCTTTATAACCCAGTTGCATTTCCGGCTTTCACAGGACATGAAATCAGTCGGCTTTCTATTGCCAGGAATTCTTTACATCCTTTTCATTCAGTTTCAGTAGGGTCCACGCCACGCCTTAAAAGCTATGCATTTCTATTCTAAACTTCGTCATACGAAATAAGAGTAACACATTTAACTCTTTTTATAAAATGCACGATATTCTTATCAAATAAATGATCTTAATTTTGTTGAGAATTACGTAAAATTTATCTATCCTGAAAATCTAACAGCTATTGATGCTTGTGTTCTTTAAAAACAGAAAAACACGTCAAACGAAATTTTTAAATTACAACTTAAACAAAATGATTTTTGAATCATACTTTTAAATGTAATATTCAATTGTTTCAAGTTTGCAGATGGTTCTCTTTATATGTATATGAACAGTATATAAATAAAAAGTTAGGGCTGTAGACAATAGTCTATGTATACTATGACGCTTAATGGCGGTCATTAGATATAATAGACAGATCAAATCGTGATCGTACCTAAGTTTATATATTTTTCTTATTACAGATACCTTGCTCAATATCTAGGTATTTCGTCTATGCGCATGATTAGTAAGAATGCAATAATTGCTTCTATGCATTCTAAGCATACTAAGTGACCGCATCAGTTGTTTCGAACGGCTAAATTTAACTAATAGTTGAAATTTCATGAACAATTAGACATTCTGCATTAGACAGATTCATAATGCTTCACAGATGAGCTCGTTTAGATCAATGCGCCTTTGTGAAAACAAATCGTGCACCTATAGAAACAATGGATTTGTGAATAGAGTTGTTTATTCGTAGGGCACGAGGTTCGCCATTCTTTGATTCCTAAATTAGTCGCACGTCTCTTAATGATGTTGCAATTTCTAGCAACAATGCACAGTATTCTGCACTAATTCCATTCCATGAACTCAGAGGCGGATCCACAGAGACTTTTAAGTCCCCCATTGGTACAAAAAAAATATTTTATAAATATGTTTATCCGATCATCCTAATACAATTGTCTTTCACGTGTTAATAAAAAAAGGTGCTTAATTATTCAAAATATTGTTAATTTTTGAGTTAGCCCGATTTAGTTTCTTCAGCCATTGACTCTCATATTACATTATTATTAAATTATATTGCTAGATGTCTGAACAAAAGAATACCATTTAATAGACATAGAAGTGATTTAAAGTATTATGGAAAAAGTAAACAAATAAGAGGTTATAGTTCTAAATTTTCATAGCCCACAGCTTTAACTTTTAACAGAATGTCCTAATTTACAAAGCAGATTATTTTTAACAGATGAATGACACAGCATTGTCCTAAAGTTCATTACGGAAATTTTAAGAATTTTTTTTCTTCTTTTTTAACATTGTCGTAATTTAAAAATAATTTAGACTCTTAAAATTTAATTCGAAACTTGGCTAGAACTTTCTAAAATTGATTCTTAACGAGATGTTATTACTGAATTATCTTGAATAGTCTTATTATTCCGTAATAGAAAGTATTATAGGAGGAAAACTACCTTCGAAACAAGTAAAGGTTATCTGTTATTGAAGGTCAATTACGAGAATCATTTGTCATAATCGTACTGGTACAGAGCTGAAATCGTGTTAACTGCAAAACACGCAGAAAGAAAAATTTTAGTTCGACTGCCGCATTCTTTAGCCATATGTAACCACGCTGATATAAACTCGACTTTCCTAGAAGACCAATAATGTTCACCCCACATTAGAAGGGTAAGTGAACAGATAGAATCAACAGCCATCTGTAATTGCTGGAAGATACTAATCTTGGAAGACAACTAAAAGAAGAAGAAAAAAAAAAAAAAACTTTCCAAATCGGTCGCTGACATCTACAGACACAACACGAAACAGTAATACATAAAGAAGATTTAAAAATTCGATTATTTTAGTTCACCGGGAGATAAAAATTTAAATTCGCGCATCTTTCTGTCACACTAGAAAAATTTAAACAACGATTAAAATTAGTTAAGCGTTATTAATAGTACAAATCGAATTAGTTAGCGCGTAAGTGCTCAGGAGAATTTTACGACGAAGCAAAAAAAAAATAGTAGTTTGTCAAGAGGTCGGTCCCTATTTTTTCCTTTCTTATCAGATGAGAGGACAGCAAAAATCGATAGCCAATCGGAAAGAAGGCTACCGACCGTGCCAGTACGGGATTAACGTCAAGGAGAAAGTACTTCAAGGAGAGTTAAACGCATTTGTCTCATCAACAATTTAACAAAACCGTATTTAAATTTCAGCTTTAGGGCAATCCACTTCCTGTTTACAATCGTTCAGATCAAAGCACAACCCGCTCTTTTAACCCGATACCAAGTACGCCTTTCCTTGCAAGAGGTTAAAAACCAACCGATCGTTTTTTCTGCATAGAACTTATTGCATAATGAATTTCGACGTAAGTGCCTCCATTCTTG